TCATTCAGTATTGATAATGATCAATTGATCGATCACTGACATTTTATTTCAAAAAATTATTCACAAGTTACCATTGATATGAGTTTTAGTTGAATCTGTGATGATTGTACAACAACCAAGAAACGAATATTATCAATTGTGGAATATCAGGCTCACTACTTTATTTGAATCTTTCGAAGTTACTGGATCTTCATGGTCACTCATCTTTTGAAATAGAATACCAATCATGTGCTCACTGTTAAGACAGACAGACAGACAGATACAACGCAGAACTTCGTACTTATGTACATCAGTTCAGGTCGCCATGCACCATCAGCACAGAGCCGCAACTGTCAATTGGAATCCAAGAGTGATAGCAATTATAGAAGTATTAGCAGTAATGGAGAAGATTAGAGAGCGAAGATGTGATTCGACAACTATAATTCAGTAAGATAAATTTAGAAGGAGAAAGGTGGAGAATATGAGGAATTCAGAATGTGAGAGAGAAGACAAAGAGTGGATGCACCTGCGCCATCGCAAACGATTCTGAGCCATGTCATTATTCAAAGTCTCTAACCATTGGTGACTTTCGTCTCGCGGACCCCAACCAGGTAGCCTACATCTACCAACATGACTCAGTCCATTTGTCAGTGACTTCATGGATTAGTGCTATGTTTTGGTTTGGCCGCCCTTAGCTTTCTTCAAACCTACTCCTACACTGCAAAACATATCTCGTCGCGGCAGTCCGCGGTTAGCCATAAGTAATACATGTCCCAACCACCTCAACTGATGAATTTTCACTACTTCATCTGTTGATTTGCCATCCCTACATAGAACTCGTTTCCTAACGACAGCATTGCTTATATGGTTGTCTCATTATACACGAGCAATGCTTCTTAAACATCGATGATCGAAAACCAATAACCTTGATAAAGATCTTATACATTCAAGGATTCATATCATTAAAGCGAAATGAGGTGCCGAAATTTTAAATAGGATCAAACAATTGTTTCTTTTAAGTTATCTAACTAACTTTTATTTATCATCCCTAATAAAAAATTGATCATTGAACAACTTACTAAATGAAAATTATTTTTTAATTGAACAATCAAAGCGTTACAACAATAGGCGCCATGCTACAAAAAAAACCAAGTAAAAAAACAGATCAATAGAAATAATGCATGAATAGAGAATAGTTTTTTTTATTCATTCAAAATACTATGAACTACTGAAGAATCAAGATTGTTGGAGTAAATAAACAAAGACGTCAAAACCGAATGGAGTAGTGCTGTTGTATTTGAAGAAGACATTAGTTTACAAACAAAATATGAACAGCTTATCTGCCAACTTCTATTTGTAAATCTGTTATGTTCGTCAATTGGGACGCTTGAAGCTATTACGAGTTCACCTTAGTCGATAAACGTGAACGAGACAATTACCAACGTCCAGATAGGCTACCTTGAATCCCAAGCTGTAAACAGAAGGCTTTGTAGGCGTAGAAAGTATATTCTGCAAACAACCAGCAATCACAGTACAACCAAGCACACAACTCTTGTTTATTTATACATCATAGAAACATCCTTGGGACAGTTACGAAAATAACACACTAAAATACACAGTAGCCAATCACAGCCATGGATTTTCCTGGTGGGAAATGAAATCCCAAGGTCAGCTGATCAGCCCATGCTGGCAAACGTGAGATCCAAAATAAGGCATTTATCAAGCGAGTTCTATGGATCTAACATCCCCAGCAAAAACAAGCAGTCTCCATAAAAGGCTTTGACCATGTTACGAATGCACGTAAACATGTCATTTTGATATGCCTGAACTATTACGAGTTTGCCTTAGTCAGTAAACGAGAACGAGGATTCGGCGATACGACAGACTACTCTAATCCGAGCGTCCCAAACCCTCATTGAGTAAAAGAAGAAGAATTGATATGAAGTAGAACATGTCTTCTACAAGCATCCAGAAAGTACGAGGTCCGTGTCCAGAAGAGGCTAAGGATCCCAGACAAAGGATCCGGGTCATAGAACGTTACAGATAATGGATATTTATACAGTTAGGTAGAATAGAAAACAACATTGAAGTCTGTGACATTGATATCTAGGACGACCATAATAATGACCATTAAGAAATCGACCAATAGAATTAGACTTCCAAAAATAATTCTTCGTGGGATATTTGATGAATATCCTAACAGATCGCTGCATACATCCGGATGCGGTACTCTTCACTTCAGCGGTAACTTTTCAGTGACACTTTGCCTCATACTACTTATAACCCATGTTGTCGAGTAGTATTCACTATACTACCACCAGTTGAATAAATTCCCTGCACATAAATTTCCCTATGAATATTGACTATATAAATGAACAATTGAACTTTTCCAGTTCCTCTTCTATGCTCAACTCAATGTGACTGAAACCAAAGATAACAGTTGATAACATGCTGAAAGTCTAGGCACATCATATCATGGCATTTTTAATGTCAGATTCGAAAATGTGAAACCAATTACATTTTTACATTGGTACATTAAGACAAAATTGATTCTATTTGAGGAAAAAGAAAGACGATTTCTTGGAAAATTTGTTCAAATAATCGCCAGCAAATATTGAGGATTCACGTTAATTTGATACTATTTTTAATATTTAAAGTAAGAAAAAGTAACATGGAAAATGCGAAAGTTGTCGTCCGATAATAGAACTCTTCAGCAATGCGCATCCACAACCTTCAAACTAAGGAATAAAGCTGAGGACCTACGGTCTCATGCACGAACACTTAACTCCTGGACTACTGTACTGAGCTGGTATCCAAAAGTGTTGATACCTAACTGTGATCAGTCCCTGATATGGCGTAACCTTAACATTGTTTTCGGTAGTTATTGCCTACACACTCGACACGACTGGACTTCACTGGTTATGGATGCAAACTGATGAAAAGTCCCATACTAAGACGAAACGGACATTCAGTATGTGGTGCGTGCTACTTATAAGTAGTATATGATGCGAGTGAAAACGTAATGTCTGGCAGCAGAAGATGATGGAAGATCAAGAAAGGAAGAGTGGGAACACAATGGAATTTGTATGAAACGCATGAACAGTGGTGAAATGTTAGACAATGGATTGATGATTTGCAAATTAGCCTTTTACGATATGGTGTTCCTATTTTACTGAGTAACTCTGTAATTTTCGTCAAATACAATTCGGTTGCCCTCACCTGTGTTCTCCTCCACTACAAGTACTTTCAGGTTTCTAACGGTGCCCTAACAATGATCGATTCATAATTTCAATGAAACTCAATGAAGAAAATTCATAAGAAAAACTCATCAGCTCGGGTTAGTTTCCTAGACAAATAATCTTAATGTACATGGATTGTTCATTCACTGGCGAAAATTATGACTTGAAACACGGTTAGCTGTAATGCTGTCTGAAATAGCTACCGTCTCATGCATCGCAAACTTGATCACTACTTGGTTACCATTAAAAATCAAAGAGTACTGTACGATTATTTTATCTTACATTGAAATCGTGGTTTAATTATCGTTTGACCACCATTATAAGCCTGAAAGTAATGGAAGGCCATTTCGTCCTTGTACAGGACTCTTCAGCGGTGCATGTATCCACGACACCTGTTACTCACAGGATTCTGTTAGGATATCCACCAAATATCCTAAGAAGAATTATTTTGTAAGTGTAAATTCTATTGGTCGATTCCTGTTGGTCATTATTATGGTCGTCCTAACTATCGATGTCACAGACTTCAATGCTGTTTCCGATTCTACTTGACTGTATATATACGCATTATCTGTAACGTTTTAGGACCCGTACCCGGATCCCTAGTCCGGGATAACGATTCTCTTCTGAACTCGGACCTCATACTTTCTGGATGTTTGTAGAATACATGTTATGCCTCATATCTAGTCTTCTTCTTTTACTCAATGAAGGTTGAGGCACTCGGATTAGAGTAGCATATTGTGTCCTCGTTGGTCGCTCTCGTTTTCCGACTAAGGTAAACTCGTAATAATCCAAGCATCTCAAATGACATGTTTACGCGCATGCGTAACAGATTCGATCCCAGAGCTTATGACCCGGCGCGAGAACGCTTAACTTCTTTCTTCGAGAACTCCTCATCATCATTGTGTACCCATGGTCTCTCTAGGGAATAAAAACTACGCCCTTTATGTATCATTGTGCAAGCATGACCAATCAAACTATTGGGTCAGTGTTGGGGACGTCAGATCCCGCAGAACTCCTAGTTTCGGATTTTATGTACGATCGCATGGCCTTATCAGTTGACCTTGATATTTCACTTCCCACTCGGGGAAATCCTTTACTGTTGTTATTGGCTGATGAATTATATTAGTACGCTATTTTTGTGACTCTCTCAAGGACGTTTTTATCATGTTGTATAAATAAACTCGATTGTGTGTGCTTGTCAACCTCATATTTTCTGGGTGCTTGTAGGATACACTTTCTAAGTCTTATCAATACTTATTCCTCTACTTAGTAGGGGACATCGGGACGCACGGATGAGAGTAGCCTGTCGTGCCAATGGATCATTATTTGTCTTCACTCTCGTTTACCGACTCTAAGGTGAACTCGTAATAGTAGCATTCAATCATATCAGTCAAGGGAAAATGGTACAATTTTAACTTTAATCTATTTGCATTACGGTGTTGTGAAGATTGTCAAGTTACACATTTTTTGAAACCATGAATCGATCAATGTTAGACAACCATTAGAAACCTGGAAGCACTGGACGGCCGTTTCGTCCTGGTATGGGACTCCTCAGCAGTGCGCACCAACGACTGCTGCACCTCGCATGATTCGAACCCAGGACCTTCGGTATTGTGCGCGAACGCCCTAACCGATAGACCACTGAGCCGTTATCTAACAGTGTTAATGTCTAACTTGGATGCGCACTGCTGAGGAGTCCCATACTAGGACGAAACGGCCGTCCAGTGCTTCCAGGTTTTTAATCTATTTGCTATAAATCATTCAATAATCATGCTGATAATGCTATTTCATTTTCATTAACAAACTCACTGTAGATTGTATAAACCATTTTGTTTCACAATCAACCAAGCTGAATAAATGAAATGGATTTAACCGTAGCTGATGATAATTTTGTTCTTCATTGAATTGTTTACAACCAATTGATAAAATATTTAAACATTTTCCAATAATTTCATTGACAAATCTAGAATTTTTGGACAAGAAGAAGAAAACAGGGAAATTCATTGGAAAAAACTGTCATCATATTAGTTTATCATAATTAATGAATAAAAATGTGTCAGTCAGTCAGTCCGTCAGCTACAACGTAGAACTTAATAGGTACGTGTGTACATCAGTTCAAGTCGCCGTACTACGTTAGCACAAAGAGGGGATTGTCAATTCAAATCCTATAGTAGAGTAGGGGTAGTAGTGTGGTGTGAGCTAGTTATAAGTAGTATATGGCGTGAGTGTCAACGTAATGTCTGGCAGCAGAAGATGGGGGAAGATCAAGAAAGAAAGAGTTAGAACACAATGGAATTTGTATGAAATAGCATGAATAGTGACAATGGATTGATGTTTTGCAACAGGAACAGTCCAGTTCGATATGATGAACTGATATTTTGCAAACTAACAATTTACGATATGGTTTTCCTATTTTACTGAGTAACTCTGTAATTTTCGTTAAATATGATCCGGTTGCCCCACCTGTGTTCTCGTTCACTACAGTAGAAGTATTACCGGTAATGGAGAAGATTAGGGTTTGAAGATATTATTCAAGAAGTAGATTCTAGTGAAATAAACTTAAAAAGAGTAAAAGAGAGGTCATGAACAATTAAGAAGATTAGGATTTGAGAGAGAAGACTAAGAATGGATGCACCTGAGCCATTGCAAACAATTTTGAGTCAATGTCATTCAAGGTATCTAACCGTCGGTTAATATTGTCTCTCGGACCCTAACCCGGTAGTCGACACCTTGACCAACGAATGATGAAAATATATCATTTAAAGAGGCTAAAACGATTGTAAAAAACGGCATTGACTAGTTGATTTGTTTTAATTTGGCAATTAATTAGCAATAAGCGCGCACTTTTATGCTGCCAAGAATCAAACTCAGGATCGACAAAACTGAAACAGTCAGTAGTTTTACAGTAGTTTTCAAAAATGATGTTAGTAAAAAGCAAAATTACAATTGAAACCAGATGTAAATGACTGAAACGGCCCAGAACCTTCTTATCTAATACTTTCTTTAGTAGACAGATAATTAGACAGAGCATAGGCATGTGAGAAGGAGCTCAGCAGTGTGGACAGGATGACACAATGAAGGCTTGTTCGGCACTATGGTGTGCCTAAGAAGATAGTCAACATTATAAGGAGTTTTAATGAAGAACTACGGTGCAAGATACTGGATAGGGAACAGCTGACAGACTCGTTTCAAGTGAAGACCAAGGTCAGACAAGGTTGCTTACTCCCACCCTACCTCTTTCTCCTGGTAGTCGACTGGATTATCAAGATGTCAGTATCGTAAGAGGAAGCACGGAATACATTGGATAGCTAGGATGCAGGTAGAAGATTTTGACTTCGTAAATGATCGAGCTCTTCTGTCTTACACACAAAAACAAATATGCAAGAGGAGACGGCCAGTGTAGCATCAGCCTCTGTAGCAGTAGGTCTCAACGTAAATAGGTTAAGTAGAAAGATCTTCCGATACAACACAACATGCACTGATCAAATTAAACTTCATGGAGAAGCTTTGGAGGATGTAAAAATCTTTTCAAGTCTAGGCAGCATCATTGATGAGAATGGTAGATCTGATGCAGATGTGAAGGCCCGGATCGGTAAGGTAAGGGTAGCATTTACTCAATTGAAGGACATCTGGAACTCAAAATAAAAATCAACCACCAACAAAGTCGAAATTTTCAATGCAAATGTCAAGACAGTTCTGCTGTATGGGGAGGAGACTTAAAAAAACACGAAAACCATCATCCAAAACATACAAGTTTTTGTTAACAGTTGTCTACATAAGATATAAGGAATCCGTTGAATAGACAGTCAGACAGTTGTCATGCAAAATTAGCACAGAAACACCAGTAAAATTGTTGGCGATGTTAGATCCCCAGAACTCGCTTGATAAATGCCTGAATTTCGGATTTCACACTTGCGAGTATGGGCTGATCAGCTGACCTTGAGATTTCAATTCCCACCAGCAAAATCCATGGCTGTGATTGGCTGCTGTGTATTCTAGTGTGCTATTTTCTTAATGGTCTCAAGGACGTTTCTATGCAGTATAAATAAACGAGAGTTGTGTGCTTGATTGTATTGTGATTGCTGGGTGTTTGTAGAATATACTTTCTACGCTTACCACGACTTCTGTTTTACCGTTGGATTCAAGGTAGCCTACCTGGACGCTGGTAAAAGTCTCGTTCACGTTTATCGACTAAGGTAAACTCGTAATAGCCTCAAGCATACTAAGTGACGAACCTAGCAAAAATACTACGCTCCGAGAGAACAAACCAGATCCATACTGAGAAAAGAATTAGGAAAGATCGTTGGAGGTGGATAGGACATACATTGAGTAAATCATCCAACTATGTCACAAAACAAGCCCTAACTTGGAACCCTCAAGGCTGAAGGAGAAGAGGGAGGCCATAGAACACATTACTCGAAGAGTTAGAAGCAGAGATGAAAAGAATGAGTAACAGTTGGATAAAACTCTAAAAGAAGGCAGGCGACAGAGTGGGTTGAAGAATACAGATCGGCGGTCTATGCTCCATTAGGGGTAACATGCGTAGGTATTTAAGTATTTTCCTAATCCAGTAAGTTCTTAAACCGGTCATTTACTCCTCATAGGCAGCAGAAAATTGTAGTAGTAAAGAAATCGAATGGTTCTTTCTAAATATGTACTGATTTTTCGACTGAACTAAACGATTTCCAACTGACTTATAAGCACTTTGACTTCTGAATCCTTATTAGTTCAGTATAAAAAAACAATTCATTCTCTGGAATTATTTTAACATATAAGCATGCATCAAAGATTATGAGGGGATTTTAGAGATTGTGTTAGTATATTCATCAAATATCCGAAAGAAATTATTTTTTTTAGTCTAAGTATATTGGTCAGTATTTAAGGTCGTCATAAACAATCAGGTTCACATACATTTAAATGTTCTTTCCTATTGGTTACTTCTCACGGTCGACCCAATTATATTCATCAAATATCCGAAAGAAATTATTTTGTGAGTCTAATTCTTATTGGTCAATATTCAAGGTCGTCCTAAGCCATCAAGTTCACATACTCTTTGAAATGTTCTTTCCCTATTGGCTACTATTCACAGTCGACCTAACTTTATAATTATACATTGTCTTTACAGTTTTATGCTCCTTTTCTTCTTCTGTACAAAACCTCATATTTTCTAGGTGCTTGTAGAATACACTTTCCACTCCATATCAAGGCTTTTAGATACCGTTAGTGGGGGCTTGGGACGCTTGGATTAGAGTAGCCTTACGTGACACTAGATCATTTGTCTTCACTCTCGTTTACCGATTAAGGTGAACTTGTAATAGTTCAAGCATATCAACTGTCAAGCTTAACAGGTTGACCAATTTAAGTTTTAGATCGTGAACTGAAAAATGTCAAACAACGGTCGATATAAATACATCGCCTTCTTTCGGATAACATATTTGCCAATCAGTAGACTGTATCTATCCGAGACTGATCTAGACCTATGTCAGATTGAAATCAACAAGCAATAAACATCACTTGTTTTGTATTAAGTATGAGATTTTTTAGGAGAAGAACAGCTAAGACATCACAAATGATTGAACTCGGAGCATTCAAGTCTTATAACAAGCACACAGTTGTTACTAGACCAAATTATTAATTGATTGAAACCAAAATTCTAAAAAATTGTTTGTATGAAGGTCAAGTGCTAACTATGATACCTGAAGGTCATACAATCAATCTTCAATAGGATCCTGAATGCGTACTAGTTAGAAGTCGCACAATGATCAATTGTATTCAAGGTATTCAATGGTTGTCCAGTTAAAATCATTTTATCAATGTGGTGGTGGTGGTGGTGGTGTTTGGTTCTCTGAGCTGGATGGGGTTTGGTTGTGGAGCTTTCATTCTTGTTCTTCTGAACAACATCATCATCAGCACAAACTTCAGATAGAAGTGAAGTGAAAAACACTACATAGGACAAAGTGGACGGCCTCTTCAGCTCCGTTTTTGGTGAACATCAATTAGCAGTCAAACGCCACGACAACGCTTCGCTTATATCAATACACATTTGATTGGAACAATGTGGAAATACTGGATAGAGAATTTTAGAAGCCTGGCACTCAGGTCAATCAACAATCACACAAACATATCGACAATGACCCAATTTATCAACCAATCAGGAAAATCATAGGTGACATAGGATCAAAACAAAGGCGCAAACAACGACAGGTTTAAGGTCAATAACAGCAACCAATCAAGATCGAGGTTAGCAGAACAAGCTACAGGTCAAACGTGGAGGAGAAATTCGAATACTTCACTTTGTCTATCTGAAGTTTGTGCTGATAATGATGTTGTTCAGTAGGAGAACAATAATGAAAGCTCCACAACCAAAACATCCAGCTCAAAGAACCAAAACCACCACCACCACAATCATCTACCTGAGCTACAAATCTTCTCCACCATCTCATTTCATCATGTTTAACTATAAACGAAGAAATTCACTCTACATTAAAAAACAATAACAATTTACACCAGCTTACTGTTCAGAATAACGAATCCAATAAAAGGGGATTGTCTGATGAAATTTATTCATAAGATAACACTAGAAAAAGTGTAAAAAGAAACAATTCAAACATTCATCATGTAAAAATTTATTTCAATTTAATATGACTATATTAAAATTCGAAGAACATTAAACATTTTGACATTGTATGATATTACGGGGTTGTGAAGATTGTTAAGTTACACATTTAGGCGTTCGCCTACAATACCAAAGGTACTGGGTTTGAATCCTGCGGGTTGCAGGAGTCGTGGGTGCACACCGCTGAGGAGTCCCATACCAAGACGAAAAGGCACTCCAGTGCTTCCAGGTTTTTAATGGTAGTCTAATATTGATTGATTCATGGTTTCAAAAATGTGTACCTTAACAATCTTCACAAGCCAGCAATACAAATTACCTGTGCTCACTAGTGACTAGCTTCGTGAGGAATCTTCTCCGAGTTCTAGTGGGAAGACGTGACCAGTGAAATTCAACCTGTTCGGGTGTAGACAGGTACACAACCGAAGACAGTGTATGAGGTTGCGCAATTCCGTGAATTTGATCAAGTTAGACGTTAACATCGTTAGATACCGGCTCAGTGGTCCGATGGTTAGGCGTTCCTGTGCAAGACCGAAGGTCCTGAGTTAGAATCCTGGGGGGTGCAGGAGTCGTGGATGCGCACTGCTGAGGAGTCCCATACCAGGACGAAACGGCCGTCCAGTGCTTGTGGGTTTCTAATGGTTGTCTAACATTGATCGATTCATGGTTTCAGAAATTGTAGGATATGTCAGTCAGTTAGTAATGACGTAAATCTTGGTATGTATGTACATAATTTCAAGCTGCCACATCACAGTAACACAGAGGAATGGAATAGTCATTGTGTTAGACGTAGTAGCGGCGTTAGTTGCAGCTTAAACGATTAGAGATATGATTAGAGAATTATAAACCAGTGAAATAAAGTTAAAAAGAGAAAGATAATAGAGATCATGAGCAATTGAGAAGAATAGAATTTGAGAGAAGACAAGAAATGGATGCACCTGTAACATTGCAACTGATTGTGGCAAATTAAGATCATGTTGAGGACCTTAACAAGGTAGCCTCCACCTATGAACATGACTCAGTCTAGTTATCACTGCCTTCATGGATCTGTGCCATGTTTTGGTTTGACGACGGTCTCTAGCCTCCTTCTAGCTTATTACTACATCTGACAATATTGCTAGACGAGGTAGTTGGTGGTTAGGCATACGTATAGCATAGATCTCAACCACTTCAACTGATGAAGATTCACTACTTCATCAGTTGGTCTGCCATGCCTTACCTAGTACCCGTTTCGTAATCGATGGTATCGGGATATAAAATCAATGCTTTGATGGTACCGACGAATATCGTTGCATCTTAGTGGCCACATTTCACATTCGTATAGTAGGATGGAGAGAACTGCTGTACTGTAGACTCATCCTTTGGTCAGCTGACGGCTATCTCGCCAACACCACAAGTCATGCAATTTGACAAAATCCAGTCAAGCCTTCTATATTCGTGCCAAAATAATTGATTGGGATATGAAAAGCATTATGTCCAAAATAATCACCAAATGATGTTTAATTTTGATGAAAAATAATGATTACTCTGGAATTTGCTGCATATTATAACTATATTACTCATAAGTAACTTATTTAGATTATCTAATTAATTTTATTAGTTATTCGTTGATCAACTGATCACTTGTTAGTTAATACACACTAGAAACTGATCATTTTGTTCTTGTCTATTACCAAGATTTTACTGTTGTTTACATATTGAGTATGATTATTTGGATCGATTTGCTGTCTAAATTCATATTTAGCTATTCCAATAGGTTAAGACAATCTTCCTAACTTTAAACGATCTCGAACAGATTATTCCGATGAATCTGACATGTAAGTCAACTCAGCAACACAAAGCTGTACGTGCTTTATTGTGAACCGAGTCCATGATGAAATCATACAAAACTGAATGTCCATCCTCTGAGAAATAAATCAATTTGCTTAAGTAACTTGAATTTTCTACATCCAACAAGAGGACAATGGTTTCAGTAAGATTATGTATATACCTGACTGATTAGAGTCGACTAACATGAAATTTAGATTCAGCGTTTTCAGCCAGTTAATGTTGAAACACTCAGACATTTGGATATATTATAACTTCATAGATGAAAATCAGTCAGAACTAAAGAATTATACAAACATGCTGTTACTCACTGGTTGTTGGAATATTCATCAAATATCTCAAGTCTAATTTAATTGGTCAATTCCTATTAGCCAATATTCAAGGTCATTCTAAATTGTCGAGTCCACATACTTTTAAATGTTCTTTCCTTAATGGTTACTTACTATTCACGGTCGACCTAACTGTATAAACATGCATAGTCTTCACAAAACCTCATATTTTGTGGGTGCTTGTAGTATATATTTTCTACACCATATGAAGACTTTTTGATACCGTTAGTGGGGGCTTAGGACTCTTGGATTACAGTAGCTCATCGTGTCACTGGATCATTTGTCTTCACTCTCATTTACTGACTAAGGTGAACTCGTAATGACATTCAAGCATAAGATTGGTCAATCAGCTATAAATTTTTGTGTTATACTTGTCAGTTTTCATGTGAATATTCTTCTTATGAAGAATAAAATTTGACAACCATGTTTTAATTATATAAATCAATAATCTTTTGAAAACACTGCTTCTGTTTAAGTATCATTTTAACAAACGAAACACAGTATAGTGTCAACATTCAAATTAGTGAAATTTTAACTTTTAAACAATCCTCATTGTTTGATGATCTTTAACTCTTTACTTTATTTAACTCAAGCGGGGACTTAAATTGATTTGGAATTGAAATAACAATGTCTTTGAATATTACACACTGAAATCATCAGCATTCGGAAACTGGAAGCATGTGACCAGTGGAGTCCAACGCTATCGGGTGTAGGGTTGGGTGGGGTCGCTTAAAATCTGCAGATTGATCAAAGTTAGACATTAACGCCGTTGGGTGCCGACCTAGTGGTCCAGATGTTGAGCGTTCGCGCGCTAGAGCGAAGGTCCAGGGTTTGATTCCTGCGAAGTGCACGAGTCGTGGATGCACACTGTTACTGATGAGTCCCACACCAGAACGAAACGGCCGTCCAGTGCTCTCAGGTTTCTAATCTTGGTCTAACAATTAGTGATTGATGATTTCAATGTGCAACAAACACTGATCTCCATAACTCTAATTGAAAAATAAGAATATTAAATTTAACGCAAAAGTTCCTCCAGTGTCTTTTTGATTATTTCTGCATAACTGACTGGTAAAAGAGGTTAGCGTTTTTTAGCGAGTTGATTTTCCGAGGGATTAGGTTGCTAACCCCATGCCCAAACCTCCTCCGTTCTTTCCGGACTTGGGAACGGCAGTAGCCACCCAAGGACTCCAGGCGGAGATAGATAAAAAAACGCACAGGTCAACGTATCCGAATTCGGTCATGTACTAAGGATGTTATCTTTACTAATCTATCCCCCAAACAATGTCTCAAACAATCACTAAATCACAAAGTGTCAGTATAAGAATATGCAGCTGCATGACGCGATTTTGCTGTTGTTTCCGATTCGGCCTAACTGTATAAATATGCATTATCTATGACGTCTTATGACCCGTATCCTTAGCCTCTTCTGGACTCGGACCTCGTACTTTCTAGATGCTTGTAGAATACATGTTCTACTTCATATCAAGTCTTCTTCTTTTACTCAATGTGGGTTTGGGACGATGGGATTAGAGTAGCCTGTCGTGTCGCTAGATCCTCGATTTTCGCTCTCATTTACTGGCTATGGTAAACTCGTGAACGACGTGTTGATGCGTGTTCGTAACAGTTTGAAATCATCACCTAATGTATTCAGGGAGAAGAATATCATCAATTTGTTTTTTTTAAAAAAGTCATTTCCTTCATCAGTAGATCACATATAAAAGTAGTATGTGCATATATTTGTTACAACATACAACTTACTGCTTTTAAAACTCTCTTATTATGAGTTTGTTGAAAATCAACACCATCTTTTAGTAATGGATATTGATGTGCATTTTGAGTGAATTGTAATTGAAGATATTCAACTAAGAAAGAAAAAAAGCAGTGAAAAATGATAGCATACTACTTAATAACACTGTACAGTGTTACTTAATTGCTAGTCAAGAAAGAATAAAAATGTATCGACAGACATTGTTGAATTGACTTTTTATTTGAGTCATTCAAACTAATAGTTACATAATCAATCGGGCTGATTAAGTGAGCATATTGAAATCATGAATGTATCATTGTTAGACTACGACCATTAGAAACCTGGAAGCACTGAACGATCATTTCGTCCCACCATGGTACTCATCAACAGTGTGCATCTATGACTCCTGCGACTTGAATGGTTCGTATCCAGAACCTACGGTCTTGCGCGCAAACGCTTAACCTATACACCACCCAATATGAAAATAAAACCAAATCTTATTAATTTATAAGTAAATTTCAGACGATTAATTATCTTTGATCAGTTTAAAAAGAGATCAGTACGTTGATCCAATCAGTAATCACAATCTTTATTCCTTTCGGTGTTATGGAGATCGTTGTTTCACATCGAAATCATGAATGAATCATTGTTAGACCACTATTAAAAACTTGGAAGCACTGGATGGAGGTTCTCGTCCTCTTGTGGGACTCATCAGCGCTGGACATCCATGACTCCTGGTACTTGCAGGATTCGAACCCGGGACCTTCGATATTCCACCACTAAGCCGGCATCCAACAGTGTTGATGTCTAACTTTGATCAATCTAAAGATTTTGAGCAATCTCACCCATTGTCTTCGGAAGTAGTTACTGCCTACACCCGATAAGGGTGAATGAACTCCAATGACTCATTTATGATTTCAGTGTAAAATAACAGTTGACAACAGAAATCCCTATAATCCAAAGAACTTATTCACTTGTATACATTTTTGAAGAACTTCAATAAGTTTAATCAACTTTTATGAAATATTAAACACTGGACTTACTTAGTAGACTATAAGTTTCACGAATATTTGGCGGAGTAGTTGAAAGTCCTTTGCTTATATATCGTAATGAAAGACTCTAAATCGAAAAAAAATGGCATGAAAAAAAGGAACCAATTACATACAATGAAGTTAATTTTTTATTGAAGGAAGGCATGAGTGATGTAATTTCACAATGATAACCTTGTAGTAGTGATCTCGTGTTGGTTGTAATCAAAAGCCAACTTTATATCTAACTGTATGATTACAGATGATCCTACCATACATCAAAGACATATTGGAACATACAGCACGAAAACTGAAACCATTTGGAATAGGTGTGGCACACAAACCAACAGAATCACTTCAATCAATCCTATGTAGACCAAAGGACAAAATGACAAAGAAAAACCAAATATCATCTACAAAATAAACAACTGCTCAAACTGTGAAAAGCAACACTACATAGGACAAAGTGGACGACCTCTTCAGCTCCGTTTACGTGAACATCAATTAGCAGTCAAACGCCATGACAATTCTTCGCTTGTGTCAATATATACGGACAATTATGGACATACTACATTCGACTGGAACAATGTGGAGATACTGGATAGGGGGAGGACAAAGAACACTAGGGAATTTTTAGAAGCTTGGCACTCAGGTCAATCAGCAATCAACAAACACATCGACATTGACCCAATTTATCAACCAATCAGGAAAATCATAGGTGACACAGGATAAATAAACAGATCAAAAAGGGGATACAATCAAAACAAAGTTGCAAACAACAACAGGTCAAAAGTCAGCAGTAACCAATCAAGATCGAGGTTAGCAGAACAAGCGACAGATCAAACGTGCTTCACTTCTATCTGAAGTTTGTGCTGATGATGTTGTTCAGAAGAACAATGAAAGCTCCACAACCAAAGCAACCAGCGCAGAGAACGAAACACCACCACAACTGATATATCTACCCTTCCAATAAATAACTTACTTTTACTAGTCATAATTTTTTATATGAAATCAATAGATACCAGCTAAGAAGTTGTTGAAAGAGAACACAAGGAGTATTGGACAGTTATATAGTGTTAGTATGTAATTAACTCCTTAGAAATGTACACTTATGACTCTCTGACAGAGACAAAACTCCAGATCTTCGGTACTGATTACAGATACAGATACCTCCAAGGTTAAAAAAAGCGTATTCAACTAATCTAAGTAGGCAAGTCAGTTAGTTACCAGCTAACAGTAATAAAGGAATTCGTATTATGTCGAGAATTGATCGGAGTAAAAATTGTCAGCTTCTGGAATCTCCATCTCTCTGGCTAACCACCGACTACCTCCTCATCGAGTGATGCTGTCCGATATAGGAGCAGGTTGGAAGAAATCTACGGGTGGCCAATCCGAAACGTAGCACAAATCCATGCGGTTAGTGACAACTTGACTGAGTCATGTTAGCAAGTATAGACTGCATGGTTAGGGTACGCGAGCCAATGGTATGTAACTTTGAATGACATGGCTCAAAATCTTTTGTATTTAAGCAAGTGCTTCCATTATTTATCTTCTCTCTTCTGACTCCTTCATGACCTCTACCTTTCTTTTTTTAAATTTATTTTTTCTGGTTTATACTTCTCGAATCATACCTTCAATCCCTTATCTTTTCGCTCCCAGCTAAAACTGCTACGATTTCTACCAATTTGGGACTTGAATTGACAGTTCGATCTCTGTGTGTGAATGTGGTACGGCAGCTTGAACTTGTAAAATACTTGCATAATAAGGTTGTGGAGATTATTTAGTTATTTTTTTGAAATAATCAATCGATCACTGCTAGATCACCATTAGAAACCTGGAAGCACTGGACGGCCGTTTCGTCCTGGTATATGACTCATCAGGAGTGCATATCCACGACTACCGCTACTGACAGAATTCAAGCACAGGATAGTTGGCTTAACGTCTGAATCATTGAGCCGGTATCCACCGTGACCAGTGGAGTCCAACCCTCTCCGGGTATGAAACAGTGCTCATCGAAGACAGTGGATGACGTTGCGCAAACCTGAGGATTTTTCGAAGTTAGACATTGTCATCATTAGACACAGGCTCAGTGGTCTAGAGATGAAGTATTCTTCGGCGAGACCAAAAGTCTTGGGTTCGAATCCTACGAGATGTAGGAGTCTTAGGTGCATACAGCTGATTAGTCCAACGCCAGGAAGAAATGGCCGTCCGATGATCAAGGGTTTCTGATAGCGGTCTAATTATGATTGATTCATGATTTCAAAACATGTAAAACTGATGACATTGTACTGTGTTTACCACTGTGTTGGGCCCACATGGCTTGTCCTAGCTTTCGGACAAACTAATAAACCATTTATCCCCAAGTCATGATTCACTCGTCTTTCGAACTTGTCAGATATTCGTTCATACTTTGGTTCTTTTTGTTTGAGTCCGTCAATGCATTACTTACTTCGCTTACTATATGTCTCACCTATCGTCGCCTGACTACAAGTACTTAGTTGAGTTTCATCGCAATTAGTCGGTTCACTAGCCTTTTCCACTTCACTCAACTTTACTTTCTTGCTTCCCATTTTCACACCTGTCTGTGTGAATGATTGTCTGAAATAAACTTGTCCGACTAAATCCATGTTCGGTTTCTAATTACCTCCATTTCACAAACGAGTTCCGATTAACTAGTATAAACGGAAAGTGTAGGAAAGATTTATTTCACTGCATACTCGATCATAAATCCAAATTGGAGTCAGACACTCGCGAGACACTAAAGTAGTGAGTCCTACTTCAAATTCAACCTAACCAATAAAATGAAATGGTTGATAGAATTCTATCAATCAAATCACGCTGTAAACATTCATCTAAGCAATTTGTAATAATTTAAAATGTTCGAGTGGATCGAATTTAGATTTCAAGCGAAATTATTCTCACAACATAAACAATTTTCATTACGGGGTTGTGAAGATTGTTAAGTTATACATTTTTCAAAACCATGAATCGATCAATGTTAGACTACCATTAGAAACCTGGAAGCACTAGACGGCCGTTTCGTCCTGGTGTGGGGCTCATCTGTGGCAGTGAGCATCTACGACTCCTGCACCCCGCAGGATTCGAACCTCTTCGGTATTGTGCGCGAACACCTAACCATCGAACAACTGAGCGGGTATCTAATGGTGTAATTGTCTAACTTGATCAATTCACGCAGTTGCGCAACCTCATACACAGTCTTCGGTAGTTACTAGTGTCTACACCCGAACAGGTTGAACTTCACTGTTCACGTCTTCCCACTAGAACTCGTCCCATACCAGGACGAAACGGCCGTCTTTCAGTGCTTCCAGGTTTCTAATGGTGGTCTAACATTGATCGATTCATGGTTTCAAAAATGTGAAACACAATTTTATCAATAATAAATCTATGGACGATTGTCCAAATTTTCGCTTACCCATAAAATATCATCTTCATCGTTTAGTGCATCGGCTAAACCACGTCTTAAACCACCACCACCACCACCGGTTGTAATCATTTTCACATTGTTGTTAGTCATTTGATTTTGATTATTATTATTAATACTACTAATATTACTTTTATTAGTAGTATCAATTGATTCATCTTTATTATTGGCATTATGGTCATCAATTGGTCTGCTTTGTTGAATAGGATTTAATGCTTTCAAATTTAACGACGGTGACGATGTTGATGATGAGGATGTTGATGATGCGGAGGAGGAGGACGAGGAGGCAGATATTGGTAATTTATGCGAATTTTTATAGTCTACTTTCATTTTATCCATAATACCAGGTGTATTTGTGATGGAATAGATTCGACGTAAATTATTCTTATTACTACTATTATTATTATTAGTAGTAGTAGTATTAGTATTCATAGTGGAAAACTCCTGATTGATTAGGGCAACTGATGATGGAGATGTTACTTTTGTTGTTGTCGCTGTTGTAGTTGTAGTTGTAGTTGTGGCAGTGGTTTTCATCATGACTGTTGATGATGATGATGATGGTGATTGTGATGTAAGATTGTCATTTAAATAAATCCATACTTCACATGCTTGTACATCAATAATTGGTAAATGTACTAATTGTTTCAAAGCTTTTTGACGACAATCTAATCGACTTGATCGACTATCTAATGCACTAGCTAAATTAATTAATTGATCTTGATTCATCACAGTAAATTCAATCTAAATAATTGAAGAGAATGATAGGAAAAATAGAAAAGTAGATGATAACAAAAGAACACAGATGAATGATAACACAAAGGAAATCATGATAAAAATGTTATTGATTTTTGAAACCATGAATCGATCAATGTTAGACCACCATCATTAGAAACCTGGAAGCACTGAAAGACAGCCGTTTCGTCCTGATATGGGACTCCTCAGTGACCAGTGAAGTTTTCGACCTGTTCGGGTGTAGACAGTAGTGACTACCGAAGACTGTGTATGAGGTTGCGCAACTCCGTGGATTGATCAAGTTAGACATTCAGACCGTTAGATACCGGCTCAGTGGTCTAACGGTTAGGGCATTCGCGCCCAAAACCGGAGGTCCTGGGTTCGAACCCTGCGGGGTGCAGGAGTCGTGAATGTGCACTGCCACTGATGAGTCCTATACCAGGACGAAACGGCCATCCAGTGCTTCCAGGTTTCTAGTGGTGGTGTAACACTGATCGATTCATGGTTTTTAAAAATGTATAACTTAACAATCTTCACATCCCTGTAATGCAAAAACGTTATTATTGGTGTAAGGATTAAACTGTAAAATCATGCACAGAGAACAGCTGACAGACTTGTTTGAATGGAAGAACAGTGTAAGACAAGGTTGCTTACTCTCACTCTTTCTCTTTCTCCTAATAGTCGATTGGATTATGAAGATGTTAATATCGCAAGGGAAAGCATAGAATACAGTGGACAGCAAGGATGTAGATGGATGATTTGACTTTGCAGATGATCGAGCTCTTCTATCACACACGCAACAACAAATGCAAGAGAAGAAGACTAGTTAGTGTGGCAGCAGCCTCAGCAGCAGATCTCAACGTACACAAAAGGAAAAACAAGATTCTCTGATACAACAAAACATGCATTAAACAAATTACACTTGACGGAGAAGCTTTGGAAGAAGTATAAACCTTTACGTATCTGGGCAGCATCGTTGATGAGCATGGTAGATATAATGCAGATGTGAAGGCACGGATCGGTAAGGTAAGGGCAGCTTTTATTCAAATGAAGAACGTCTGGAACTCCAAACAACTATCAACCAACACCAGTCACAGCTTTCCATACAAATGTCAAGACAGTTCTACTGTATGGAGCAGAAACTTGGAGAACTGCGAAAGCCGTCATCCAGGCGATGCAAGTGCTTATTAACAGTTGTTTAATCAAAAGACTGAGGATCCGTTGGTCAGACATCATCAGCAACAACATACTATGGCAAAGAACGAACCAGATTGCAACTGAGGACGAAATAAGGAAGATGTGCTGGAAGTGGATAGGACACACATTGAGCAAAGCACCCAACTGCGTCACAAGACAAGCTCTCACTTTGAATTCTCAAGGCTAAAGGAAAAGAGGGATACCGAAGTACATATTACGCAGAGACTTGGAAGCCGACGTGAAAAGACTGTACTGCGATTGGGTAGAACTGAAAGGAAGGCGCAGGACGGAGTGGGTCGTAGAATGTAGGTCGTCCGGATAAAAAACGTAAATGCAATTCAATATTTTCAACCTGGAAAGAAATCCTAAAGAGAAATTACATTGTGATTTACAGCAAACATCTAAGACATGAGTCAGTCACCAGTGACACAGAGCTTTCCACAAATTTATATTGCAATAAGCTGCCATGTCACATCAACACGATCAAATGAAGCTATATAGGTAAAACACCAAATCAATCGAAATAGTGTACCAGTAGTAATGTTAATGAGGAAGATTTAACGTTGAAAATAGATTGCGAAAGAACATAATGAATAGGTGAATTTGAAAGACTGTTGAAACCAATGATGTGCCATAGTTAGGATAAAGAGTGTATCTATCTGTGCAATTCTGACCACTTTTGAACAATGTCACAGTAGGTCTTTAGCCACTGACTGTTTATATTTCGAATAAACCCAGACCAAGTAGTTGGCACCGATCTACACAACTCAAACGAAAAGTCAATAACTTTACAGATTGGTCCTTCATCTTGACCTGAGTACACCAGACTTCCAGCCACCAACATCGTCCATGAAAGTAAATGGCGGTTGAGGAGTCACCTCATTCACCAATCTACCGTCTCCTTCCAGTGAGAAGACTGAGGCAGGCGCAGAAGATTGTATTGTACGAATTTACACTCTGAGTCAATTAAAAACGAAAACATTACACTGAAAACTCTATTTGCACACCATCTTTGAGTCGTGACTTCCAACACTCCATCCTTCTTCCATTCCTGCTGTTACTTCCTTTCCTTCCTGTTGATACTCCATTTACTTCTTGCTTTTGCTCCATTTGCTTTCCGTTTTCCTCTTCTGACCGACCGTGAGACTTCTTCTTTCACGTCCCTTCTTATACTACTTATATCATTCGTATAAGTAGTCACAACACCACAGCGGCAGAGCCGTATCATTTGTATTTCCATTTCAAATAGCTCTCTACATCAGAAAATAACCCGACAGTAGTCACCGTTTACAGATAGCACACGTCCAAACAAGACGTAGACATATAACACAATATCATAACATAAAGAGAAACAAAGAGAAACGTCATTTTTTCAATTATCTCAACACTTACATTATTTAAACAACTAGAAAATGATGATTCACCATCACTAAATGAATATATTGAATTTTGAATATTTGATGAACTATTATGCCATAATCGGTGTTCATTTGTATTTTCAAAATATCGTTCAGATAATAAATGATTCATTTGATATTTTTTGCTAACAAAATCTTTCGATTTATTTTGTTCATAATGAGAATTTTTGCCCGTATGATGTTTTGCTTGTAAGGATGATGATGACGACTTTGGACATAGAGTTAATGAACTATCTCCGCTCGATGTAGACGATGACGAGGGTGATGCCAAAGAACATGATGAATTCGATGGTATCCAAACAGAGGATAGATCAGAGAATCCAGAGTAACGACGTGAAGATTTCCTGTCACAATTGATATCATCATATAGAGGAGGATCGTTATGATTACTACGACTCATACTACTTCTACTACTACTGATATCCAGATTGTCGTGTAAATCAGTTGATTGTTTTGTATATCGATTCAATGATGAAGATGATAATAATTGTAACAGATCAGAATTATTATTATTATTTGGGAGTGTATTGTTATCACTACTGCCAGATAAATTCAGTAGTATTGTGATTAAATTGTCATAATCATTTGGTTGACAAGAATTAATGATTATTTGTAATTTCTCTTTGAAATTTATTAACAATTTCTCATAACTAAAAAATAAACAAAAAATTGTATTGATTATTGGATGATAATTTTGGTTGGCGCTTTTTGTTTTAGTTTTGTTAATGATAAAGAACTGTGTTTCTCGAACTCGTCGTTGTATAAAGCTAGTGATTGTCAGGATTCAGTCGCTCAGAGCATACTGTATTAGGGGGGGTGATTGTAGTAGAAAGGTACCAGGTTCGAGGTTTAGGTGTAAACAATGACACTAGAATGCAGGTTGACGCAGTAGAATATTTCCAAATTGCATGAAACGCTACTAGCCATAGTGTAGGATTTAATTGTCCTACAGATGTAATTCTAGAGCAGTAAACGCAATATTGGCGAGCACGGAGTCAAGAGTAAAGCTATAGTCAGAACAAGACCAATTTCGCTTTATCTGTTTCTAAACAAAAAAAACGACTAAATTAGTACAATAAATAAGGAAATTACAATTATCAAGCAGGATGAGCAAACGTACCGGACAGTATAGCGTGTCTTTAGAAAATCAATAAAAAACATGAGTCACATCTATATAAAATAAAATAATGACATCCTTCAATCAATAGGTCATTTACAACAATGAAGGTTTACAGACCGGTCAGACTAGATAACGTGGTGAGCGCTTAAACCACAATCTGATTGGTTAGTTATGGCAAAACTACAATTAGTTATATAATAACTAACACTCCCCCCGAAGCGGTCACCACGTCCAGACCTCGTTACCGTAGCGTTCAAGTAGTCGACTACTTTCAATAAACATAGGTTCCGTATATCCCGGGTGATTTCTTCGGTTGCTGTCTTTAATCGCACTGTTCTGACTTGTCCATCCGGACCATAATTGACCTCTCCAACTATAGCTTTACTCATCTCGTTGGATCCGCATAGGATAATGTTTCCTTTTGTACGATCTTCCTCATTAATTTCACCCACTCTCCAAGTTCGTGAGTCAACTAGAGCAGCAGGCATTTGTAACCAAATGAGAGTATTAGTCAACAGTCTGCTTTTATACACTAAAAGTACTACTATCCGTGACCTGCAGGGAGATTTGTTATTCTCTTCAGCACCGTTGTTGTGTACATCATTTAACTCGAAATGAAAAGGTTCAAGATTATTACACCTCTGTTTATTAGCATCGGAATTATGAGCTCGGCAATGCTGTCGAATAACTGGCATTTCTCTTTCACCTGCAACTAGGTCGACTTCCGCTAAAGTTAACGTTTCTTCCCGTTTATCTTCAACTACTTCCTTAGCAGGATCCTCTAGATTTTTCGAATCCTTACAGTCTGTCTGAGAAGCTGTAACTACTTCATCCAATGTAGTAAAAGGACGTGAAGCAAAATCATGACTTGTAGATGATGATGTCCATAAATTAACCGAAGCATCTTTCGCCACATCAGCATTCACAACGCTTGATGAAATATTTGATCCGAGAACACAATCAGCTGGAATGTCTTTCTTAGCTATAGCAGGACTTGATAGAACGGTAGGCGACTTAGCTAATTCATTTGATGCTTTGAGTGATGCAACGGAAGCCTCTGTGAGAGAAACAGAATGATTAGAAAGAGAACTAGAAAAATCCTGACCTATCGATTTAGTGTGAGGAGGGTTTGTTCCATTCAGGTTTATCTGAATTTTATCATGTTCATTGTTACTTTCCATAATAAACACATTTGATTTCTTCTCGGAAACGGCCACAACTTGTTTACTATATTCTCTTCCTTTTTGACGTAAGCGTTCTAACTCAATTTCTTTTTCTATATGAGCTAAACGTACTTTTGCTAATTCTAACTTTAACAAAGGATCTATTCGCTAGCTATTTCTTCTAAACTGATCTTCACTATGAGTTTCCGAGCGGTAGGGAGACAATTTAGGAATTTGATCAGTTTTAAGTTTCTCCGTGGACACATAGTCCGCATATTAGTAACAGATGTTACGACAGGTGGAAGCCATAAGTCATCAGCTATTTTTATATATATTATTTAAATCCCCGATAACTCATTCATTCACTCAGTCAGTCAGTTACAACGTCGAACATCATACATACGTACATCATTTCAAGTAGTCATACCATATTAGCACAGAGACGCAATTGTCAATTCAAATCCCATTGTAGTAGAGGCAGTAGAAGTATTAGTGGTAATGGGAGAGGTTAGAGTTCAAAGATATTATTCAAGAAATAGAATCTAGTGAAATAAACTTTAGACAGAAAAAGATAAAGGTGGTGAAGAGTTTAGTTTAGACCTTGAGAGAAGACAAACAATGGATGCGTCTGCGCCATTGCAAACGATTTTGAGCCATGTGATTCAGTTTCTAACCGTCGATTACTATCATCTCGCGGACCCCAGTCAGATAGTCTACACCTTGCAACACGGCTCAGTTCACTATTCAGTAACTTCATGGCTTTGTACCATGTTTTGGTTTGGCCGCCACCATCAGTAGTAATATTAAGGATTGTAGGTAAGAGATATAATTTAGGAAAATATGGATTTACCAAACGGAGAGTTTTTTCTGACAACAATTAAGAAACTTAAAATCCAAAATATAACTAACAGTGAATTCATTCGCGTCACTGAGAACAAGTTTGAGCCATGTCACTCAAAGTCTCTAATCATTGGTGATGATAGACGCGTGCATCAACCTGATAGTTTGCACCTATTGGTTAGTGACTTAAAGGAATGACACAAAGCACTTCAGATTACCGTACAGTATACTCTTCTATCGGTTGACAGATGATCATCTTGTCTAAAACAGAAGCCTGATACGTTTTCATATTCTGAATCGATTGACTTGTCTTTTATCATTATTTCAATTCCGATTAGTACAAATGTTTCTTCATTGGTTTAAGGTTATTAAGTTAGTTCAAATCACATTCATTTAGATTCAAACATGCAATCAATTCATGATATAATATCAATCGAAATAAAATGCGTTAATTAAACCAACAAACCTGGGTAACAGCCTGATCATTGACAACACATTGGAATCGTCGAGTTTATCAAGATTAGAGTTGAATGATGGAGTTTTTAAGATATCATTAGCAATTCTATTCCACATTTTATCATTGATCAGGGTATCGAAAATTGATAGTCTATATATGATCAAAAGCGATGAGGTAAATCAGTGAAATTTACCTTAAATCACCTAAAGCTGTAAGAATTTCATGTTTCTTTGATATGGATTCACTCATATTCTTATGATAAGAATCTTTTTAAATACAATTCTACTTCATGCCACAACCATAAATAGTTCAGATTAGTGGATTTTAACTTCTGTAAAAACAAAGAGGGAATGTTTTCTGTTACTTCTAAATTAAAAATGTAATGATGACGTGTTAATCTAAGAAACAGAATGAAAAACGTACATTACACCACTTATCGATCTTTTAACCATCAATTCAATAGTCCAGGTAGATCCAGTCAATAATCTGAGCTTCGAAAACCTCCATGCTAATGGCTACTGCGACGCCATAATAAATTGGAATAGACAATGAAAGCTAAATAGAACGAATCTTTGGCGATGGGGATGGGATCACATTGATCCTTTGAGGCTTGAATTATTACCCGAGCAGCAGCTGAACTAATGAAAATGTTGATGGATAACAAGCTGCATCGTGACACGACTTTGGTGGATCAAGTCAATCTGACGGTGTGTATTGTATCTGTCAACTAACCATAGTAGCTGTGCCCCCTGCTACATCCAGCCCACCTCACTTCATCTCAATCTGATAGCCGATCTGAAATCAGCTGTTAGATTGGTTCAAAAACCGAACATTAGCAGATATCCAACCAAGCATATAAGAAGAAGCCAACCCGCTCAGAAGTACCCAAGACTGGCCCTCATCTCCGTTCCAGAAATATCCTCCCCGACAGAAGCAAACAACAGTCACGTACTCCAATGTTGTTTCCTATTGGTCGTCTTAACTGTCAATGCCACAGAATTCGATGCTGTTTCCTATTCGACCAAAATGTATAAATACGCATTATTTGTAACATTTTGTGACCACGACCAGGACCAGGGCTCAGTCCCTGATCCCTAGTCCGGGATCCTGATTCTCTTCTGGATTCGGACCTCGTACTTTCTGGATGCTTGTAGAATACAGGTTCTACTTCATATCAAGCCTTTTCTAGATATGGGGGTTGGGATAATCGGATTAGAGTAGCATGTCGTGTCACCTGATTCTCTATCCTCGCTCTCGTTTTCCGACTAAGGTAAACTCTTAATGGTTCAAGTGTATCAAGTTGACGTGTTTACGTGCAGGCGTAACAGAATCATCGATCAAACCGGATAAATTAGTGCTGTAAGAATATAATTAAAACTTTTTGAGTGTTGATAAAACAAATCATAAGGATTGGTGAAAATTGACAAATGCTAAATAGACAGAGAGATACAACACAGAACTTCGTGACTAAGTACATTAGTTCAGGTTGCTATACCATACTGGCACAGAGACACAACTGTCAGTTTAAATCCAACAGTGATAGAAATAGTAGAAGTATTAGCAGTAATGGAGAAGATTAGGGAGCGAAGATATGATTCGAAAAGTATAATTCAGTAAGATAAATTTGTGAAGAGAAAGATAGAGACTATGAGGAATTCAGAAGGTTAGAATTAGAGAGAACACAAAGAGTGGATGCATCTGCGCCATCGCAAACGATTCTGAGCCATGTCGTTCAAGGTCTCTAACGATTGGTGACTTTTGTCTCGCGGACCCCAACCAGGTAGCCTACATCTATCAACATGACTCAGTCCACCTGTCAGTGATAGCTTTTGTTATCCAGGAACGTTACTTCTCTAAGACAAACTCACTCAAGTTATAGGACATATAAATTCATTTAGCATTTGTTAAATGATTCATACACAAGTCAGTCCTTGTTATTTATTTCATTACGTAATAGATTAATGCTATGAGAAATGAAAGTTCAGAAGTCGCTTCATGCCATGGACATGAAATCCAATATCCAATTTCTACTATCTTCTTCGCTTGTTAGTATCAAGCGATTGGTTTATTCGCGCTCACTTATCGTTATTTTGATACGATTTCGGGCTGATGTCTAGCCACGCAACTGCACTAATGACATGCAGTTTGCAAGAAATTGTGAACTTATATGTCCTATTACTTGAGTGAGTTTATCTCAGGAAAGTAGCTTCCTTGGATACTAGCAGCTATCACTTAGTTAAAACTGCAGTTATCAAGAAACTTCGTTTCTGTCTTAGTTAAAATATAATTTACTGGTGACCTTAAGTCGGTCAGTCAGAATTAACATAATGCCCCATTCATGTTATGCAACTTTTACAGTGAAGCGGTAAATGTTTGCACTTTATTGTCAGCAAAGTAAGAATTAACATTATATGGTCATTAAGATGCTTAAAACCAATATCGATTTCGAATTCAAAATAGAAAAATTGATTTAAGGTGTTAATAGAGCTTAACTACCAAGCATAAATACTCTCTAGGCAAATTGTATTTTTAAGTAATTGTGACAACTAATCCTTGTCACTAGTGTGTATTAAATCCCTAAAGTATGCAAACATTAGAAGAACAACGCATTGCATCCTAGCTGATGTCTATGTGTTAAGAATGCCTTTACCCTAATATGAAAAACCAAACTCACAACTAGACACTAATTATTAGTACCTAACCCATAACTTGTCGTATCATAGCTGGTCTCATTTGGTGAAGAAAACTCTGTGAAAGTGATAACCGAAACACATAACAGTAGCCTGACTTTACCAAATGGACTCAGCGTTTTCCTTCAACTAAAAGGAATAACCATGTATGTAAAAGTTGATTATTCCCAACCTCCAAGATTTGTCAGATTTGATCGATTCCCAAAAAAAGGTTCCAAAACTAAAAGTTTTCTGCTGCTGTAGGTTAACTATGACATGGGGATTACCCCAAAAATTTTCAAAGAAACGAAGAATTTTCCCAAGTTGGAGGCTCCGCTTCATATAATATTTATTACTCCACAAATAATTTGTGACGTTGATTGATGATTATTTTTAAATACACGCCGTTTCCTGGCTAACTGTTAGGCTACTAAAATGTCTACAAGTACCAGTGTTTTAAAATGTATATTTAAATCGAGTGATAAAAAGAAAGAAAAAAGTATTTGCCTAAGGTTCATGCAAAGATTATTCATTTACTTCATTAAGATTCTGTCAGATTGTTCACTTCATTTTTAAGACACAAGAAACAGTTATTAAAAAATTGTCGAAAAAATAAACCACGCTCGAGCAGTGCGCTTCAACACCATGTGTACAATGTAAGCAATCTATTTTGTTAGTGTAGTAAAACAAAAACGTTCGCAGTTTGATGAGGGTGGGAAAAATGCTGTAATAACAACCAAACATTTCAGAAATATACGTTAATACATACCTTTCGATGATATTTCACAATGTAAATTTAACTGAATGGGTCAACAATAATAATGGTCAACTGTAAAACAAAATATTGAATGATCTACGGTTTTACTAACAAATACTACTGGCATGATCCATGTGTAAAGTATTTTATTTATTTTCATATCAAAAAACTAAAATGTTAGCATGAAAAACGTTGTGACTCGGCATCTGAATTCAAATATAATACCGACTTCCAGTTGCTTTCAAAGAACAAAAGAGGTTACACATATAAATGGTTTGTCAATGTTATGTATGTTACAGTTAACCCGAGGCCAATGAAATCAAAATCCGTAAACAGAATATGAACGGATATTTGAACCGGAAGCAGATGAACATTTTTATAAAAAAAACGTTAGCTCCCCATATAATTAATATGCACGACGGCATGCACAAACGTGATTTGTAGACGGTGGTTAACTGAACGCCTTTAACCACGGAACTGACAAATGTAACTGATGTAATTATCGTCAATATAAATAGCTCAAAATGTCATTCGTTTTGATGAAATACTTCCACGAGACTACCTATTATTCCCTGATGTAAGTTTCTCCTTTAACATGAACTTGGTCGAAAAGTTCGCTTGATCCAGCATTCACTACTGGTCCGACGTGCGTTAGGTTCTGTTTGAGTAGAAAATAAACCACTCTAAAGTGTCTTTCGCACACACTTGTTTATACATTTTAAAATCTAGCTACTCTTGTAGTTGTAATTAACAAATAAATTGCAACAAAGGGAATACTTTGAAAATCCCTCCACATTTATTTAATGAACAGTGTAGTTATCTCTTTGCTTTAGACTATGCCTTGTACTTAGCGTTCACTAACGGCAGTTCCAACTATATTTTAAATTTCTCAGTCAGAGCTGCTCGACTTTAGTTAATGTTTTCCTTTATAAATTTAATTTTACTGTTGCTTATAGCCGAGCTATTGAAAGTCAGTTGTTGTTTGACTACCTTTAAGGTTACGGCATGGAGCTGAATGATTTTTGACCTGTGATAGTCGACCAAAAGTGGATCAAGTGGAGGTTGACTACAAACACTAATACAGACCAATTACGTTCCCACCACTATTAAGAATTCCTCCGTGAATCAAAGAGAGAGGAGAGGATCTAATCCGGAGAAGGTTGTATATTTGTAGGCGATCTCGTTATTGTAGAATTCTTTTTGAATGTTTTGTGTTTTGGAAAATCCCTCCATGTTTACATATTTTTGCTATGACATGATGGACTTTTTCTCTTGACATTTTTGGTATTTTATTTGATTCCAATTTGAGATTTTATCATTGTATATTGTTGTTCTTTCTATATTTGTACTTATATTGAAGTTTTTGTGTTTGCTTCTGAACTGTACATATATTGTTTAAATCTGATAAAATATGGCTACCGCCACATTTTTGGATGGACGCGGTGGCTGCTGGACTTAGTGTCACTTACTAGTTATTGTGTTGGATACTCTGCGGAGTAATTTAACCCTGGAAGGAACACAAATTCCGTAAGACTTTGTATTTCCATTTTATAATAATATAGAGACGTTTTCTCCTAGAATTTTGCCCTTTTTGATTCGGTCGGGACCCGGAACTAGGAGGAACGTACAGGAGTGTTTCTATAGGAAACAATTGGGACAGCCACTGTCGAAATAAATCTACAGTTATATCCTAAGAACACCGAGATCGTGCCAAACGATATGGGCGAAACTACAACGAACAGAGTAACTAAGATGAAAACGAAGCAACAGCAAATTGAGCGTACAGAGTACGAATAAACAAGGAGTTCAGTAAAACAATCTCT